CAAAACCAGAGAGGAGGGAGCCGAATTCCTCACAGGGCCACGCAATTCCATCTTTGGCCATGGGTTATGTTGTTTCTGGGGTACTGTCAGACCCAAATCTGGTTTACTGCACACCTGAGTTTGCGTTCCACACCCTGTACGAAAGCAACTTTGCAGAGTGGCCTCTTGCACTCCAGGACCCCTCAGGGGATGTCAGAGAGCTGGTTTCAGCCCAATCCCCGCAATCCAGGCCGAGGGACCCCATCTGCCAGAGGGACCCTGCTCACTCTGCGGATGCCCTTCGAGCCACAGCACCACCCCAGGTGCAGCTGGCCAGGGAGGGACAGCGGAGGTTGGCTCCAGGGCGTATCCAGCCTGTCTCTCCAAGTCCCTCCCCGCTGGCCACCTTCTAATTAATTTCCTTTTAATGTGCACGAATCCGTGCACTGGGTCACTAGTGTAATCAATAAAATGCTTTAAAGCATTTCTTATCTGGGCCACAGCTACTTAAATAAAATACAGCATGGAGACTATAGTTAACTAAAGGCCCAATGCATGAAATTCGTGCACTTGGGGGGGTCCCTCAGCCTGGCCTGTGCCCTATATCAGTCTGGGAGCCCTTGGGGGATGTCAGACTGATGGCTTAGGCCTGCTCCCTAAGCCGTCAGTCGGACATCCTTAGCACTGCCACGGAGGTGAGAGAGGGTCCCGCCACTGCCGCTGCGCTCGCCAGCTATGAGTCTGGCTTCTGGCTGCTCAGCACTCCCCCTGTGGGAGCGCACTGATTATCAGGGGGCAGCTCCTGTGTTGATAGTCTGCCCCCTGGTGGTCAGTGTGCACATAGCCACTGGTCGTTCAGCTGTTCAGTCGATTTGCATATTAGCCTTTTATTATACAGTAGATCGTTGGGTTACGTTGGAGATCCGTTCCTACGGCGCAACATAACACGATTTTCGCCATAAGTCAGAATCCACCTACATAAGCACCTATGTCATTCACATGGAGCACATACACAGCAGTAATGAAGTGAAATAGTAAAAAAATAATTTAAAAGAAAGATAACAATTCCTGACCTTTACTTGTGGTAAATAAATAATAAAAAACATAAAGCACATATGTACATACGTTGAAATGACAGAACTTTTTTTTTTTTTATAAATAAATGGGAGATTGCAATGCAACCATGAAATGACGTATGTCGAGTCCAACATAACCTGAGGACTGTCTGTATAGGATAATACTGTAATGTGTGTTAAAAATAGCTAAGAGAGTAGAACTTAAAAGTTCTCATCACAAGAAAAAATTTGTAGCTGTATAAGGTGACAGATGTCAACCAGACTTATTGTGGTGACCATTTGGCAATGTATGCAAATATTCAATGATTGTGTTGTATACCTGAAACTAATATAATGTTATATGTGAAATGTGCCTCAATTAAAAAGAAAATTAAAAATACCCAATCCTGAAAAATCGAATTTAAAATCATTACCTTAAACAACAAATACTGACGACATTGGGTAAAAATGAAGTATGATTACGACATACATGAAAAGTTGTTTCTCTAAACCAGTCCTGAAGACATTTTATCCAAGAGTTAGTTAGATCACACTGGATGACTAAGAATGTCCTACATCAAATAGTATTAATAATAATGTGTTCATAGACCAGTACTAATGAAACTATATTTTGTAAATACCACAAAATTCCTTATGGCATTTTAGTTACTCTAAGGATACTTTTCTGCCCTGAATAGCAGTTGAAATGTAGTGAGCAGCTATTAAATAATTATGGGGTTCTAACCCATTAAAGACTGCAATGATCATGGATGAAATATACTTTAGTTGTGAAGCTTTGGGACACTTCATGAAAGAAGGAAAATGCCATAAAAATACTAAAGGATCTTTCAAATAATGGCAAGTATAAGATTTTCTACTGCCCATCACTTTATTGTGATGCTTGGTAAATATGAAAAAAAAAAACAAAAAAATGCTTATCTTTCACCCTCTCCTTCCCCTCTAAAAGAAGTAGTTCCATATATTTAAAATGAGTAACAAAATTGGCTTAAATCGATTGCCAACTCTATCATAAGTGGTCCCAGAAGAGCTGGAGTTGCTGCAGTTCAGTGACTGCCAACTCATAAGACAGATATGTGACTGCAGCACTGCCATCAAACCAATCTGGAATAATGCTTCAAATTTTTACAAAGAGAAAGACGAGAGGGAACTGGTATTTGACTAGAATTACTATTAATTCTCAATTGTCCATACTAATCAGGAGAAAAAGGAGCATACACAATGTTAAACAATGGATAAATATCAAATTTGAAAACTGGTCAATACTGGCACATGTTCAGATACTTCCTAATTTAATACTCATCTGATCCCTTTCTAGATCAGTCCCATCACAGTCAGTTCTATGCAGTGGTTCTCAACCTTTTGGTTCTTTAAATACAGTTCCTCATGTTGTGACCCAACCATAAAATCATTTTCGTTGCTACTTCATAACTGTAATGTTGCTACTGTTATGAATTGTAATGTAAATATCTGATATGCAGGATGGTCTTAGGCGACCCCTGTGAAAGGGTTGTTTGACCGCCAAAGGGGTCGCGACCCACAGGTTGAGAACCGCTGGGTTAGAGGAAGAAAGGGACCTGCTTCTCTATAACTTACTCATGGATATTGAGAAGTTGATTGGACAGTAATATTTTAACATTTAAAGTATAATGTATGATTTCCAAGTCACTTTTAAAGACAAATTGATTTTTTTAGTTAAATGCATGATCCTATTGGCATAACAGTTGTTATGTTTTATAAACTGTATGAATGTCAAATATATTAAATCATAAAAACATTACTCAGAAACCTTTTAAAATACAGATTTCAAGCCCTAGCCGGTTTGGCTCAGTGGATAGAGCATCAGCCTGCCAACTGAAGGGTCCCAGGTTCGATTTCGGTCAAGGGCAAGTACCTTGGTTGCAGGCTCAATCCCCGGCCCAGGACCTGGTCAGGGCGTGTGAAGGAGGCAACCAATCCATGTGTTCTCTCACATAGATGTTTCTCTCTGTCTTTCCCTCTCTCTTCCACTCTCTCTAAATATCAATGGAAAAATATTCTTGGGTGAGGATTAAAAAAAAAAACAGATTTCAACTTTAAAATCTTTTAAAAACATATACAAGTTAGAGATTTCTCTTTAGTAAAAAATATTTCTATTGTTAAAGTAATACATGTATCAACCTTTCTCTAACTATTATTTGGATGTAAATAAATTGACTGATTGAGAAATTTAACCTTAACACTTCTCAGCCTATAGCATTTCAGCAGACTTGATCCCATTAACTGTTAAAAAGCAAAATAAACAACCACCAACCCCCCAAAAAAACACATACCATTCTTAAACAGCATAATTAAACCCTGCCATTCTCCATTACTTGCTCATGTCATTTCCCGATATGAAAGGGAAAGGTTCCCTGTGTGAGAACAGCAAAAATGAGGCCACAGTATCAAGAATAACCAGGCCTTTCCCCATTCTTAAGCATGGCCTACATGTCTCAGTTGAGACTCTATAAGAGATCTCTCTGCCTCTCCAACGCAATTGAATTTTTAGCATAAAAGTAACTCTCAGTAATTACTCTGTCTTATTCTTTTTACCCTGTGTTGACTGAGAACCTAGAACTTATATCCCACCCAATGCACTACCATTACCATACCCTCATCCTCTACTGTTAGGTACATGATTAAAATTTTTATATCCAGTGATGCCCACAATAGAATTATTTTAAGAACATACTAGTAGAAAGAATGCTGTTCTAGTAATTAGGAAATTTTGATTCTCATCCTAGCTCTGCCACTAATTAGTTGTGTGTTCTTAGAAAAGTCATTTAACCTCTCTGGGATACAGTTTTTTTAATTTATAGAAAATAAGCTCTTTGCAGAGCTAGCAATCTTAATTTTATTATTAAGAAAACACTGCTTGAGAGCCTTGAGATTTCATTAAGACAAAGAGGATCCCAGCCAAGGGAAAAAAATCACTATAATGTTTCTTTACAGCACGAATTACATTTTAGCATTGCCCCTCAACACAATCTTGGGTCTTGACATAACCTCTTTAGTCTTTGAATAATCTTTGTTTTCTGGGATCAAATATTTCTGAGACCTGAAATCAAATATTTCCCCAAGAAGCCTTAATTCCTTTTAATGGGAATGGCATTTAGAAACCAAGATCCAGGTGCTGCATATACTCATGGCTACCAGGGTATCTGTCATTGCTTCTTGGTCTTTTCCATGTACAGAACAAGGGAATAGGAATTCATACTGCAATAAAAATTTAAAATACAAATATAAAAGGAAAATATTTTATATAGCTTTTATTTTTAAATGAAAATCTTGGTTTCTATTATCACTGATATACTTATGCATTTGCTTTATCCTAAAATATATAAAATAATACTAATATTACAATGTATGTATATGTTATAATTCTGAAACCTACAATAAACCTATTAAGTACATTTAAGATTTCTTTGCAGTTCTTTTTATCCTTAAGATTACATCCTAGTAAGGATGCACCATTAGGGACACTATGTTCAAAATTTATCTGAACTGCATGTTATAAATTAGTTATACATTTTTGTTTGGTTTCAGTTGGTATCCATTTTTAACATTTGTTTTTCTTCCCATTATTTTTTGCTTAATTATAATGTTTGAGCATTTAAACTTTTATATAGCCCAAATGTCAAAACTGTAGTAAAAAAGTATACGCAGAGAAGTCCTACTTCTATCCCTCTCTCTCCCACCACATTTCTATACATCCCCTATTTTCATTAGTTCCTACCTTATCATTCTGTCTCATTTTATAAAAATAAGCAATTATAGTTCTTTAGAACTAATGTAGACATACCATGAGTTGAGCAATACCCTTATAAGTGAATTGTTATTTGAGTATGTTTATGGTACACAAAACATAACTTGTATCACATTTTCTATTTGCAATACACATAGCGTGGTAATCAAATAAACTCCCACCTGGATTCTGACTAATCCGCTCTAGAGAGTCCATATGAGCATTCAGAATTCTGCTGATCTGTTCGAGCTAAAAACAAACACAAGATATTTAGATTATAATTTCTGATATGGTAAACAAAAAGTAAACAAAATTTTGAAACTAGAAAGTGACTTTAATTTCTTCTGATAAGAAATGGACTGAGAATGATTAAACATTAACAGCTTCTTTTGCTATTTCATATTTGTAATGTTCATTACATCTATATATTAATCTAATTACTTTGCAAATATCACAAATCTGATTGATTCTTAGAATTCAATAAGAAACTTACTACTACAGTACAAACATAAGTAAAGAACATTAAGAGACATTTCAGAAGATAAGAAATTCATTAAAAAATTTAAACTATTGCCTTTATTCATCCATATCAGCATTTTTATTGAGGTATAACTCAGATATAACATTGTATGAGATTCAGGTATGCAACATATTCTATATCTGTATATATTGTGAAATAATCACCACAATAAGTCTAGTTAACATCTGTCACCATACATAGTTACAAAAAAATTTTTTTGTATAAGTTCTGCAATCTTAGCAATTTTCAAATATGAAATATAGTATTATTAATATAGTCATTGTGCTGTATATTACATACCCATGACTTAATTATTTTATAACTAGAAGTTTGTACCTTTTGTATACCCCTTCACCCATTTTGCCCTTCCCCCCCTCTGACAACCAATCTGTTCTCTGTATTAGCTTGTTTTGTTTTGTTTTCAAATTCTACATATAAGCAAGATCATACAGTGTCTGTCTTTCTCTGTCTGACTTATTTCATTTAGCATATGTTATCACAAATGGCATGATTTCTAAATCAGCAATTTTAAATAAATGGTAATATTCAATTGTCAAGTGTGTGTGGGGAAAATAGGTACATTCATATACAACCATTAGAAATATAATTTGATCCAACCCTTCAAAATGTAAAATTTTACAATATATATCATCTTAAAATATTCATACTTTTAAAAAAATATATTTTCTTATTGATTTTAGAGAGAGGAAGGGAGAGGGATAGAGAGATAGAAACATCAACATTGATGTGAAACATTAGTTGGTTACCTCCTGCACGCCCCCTACCAGGGATTGAACCTGCAACTGGGTCATGTGCACTGACCTGGAATCAAATCATGACTTTCTGGTTCATGGGTTGATGCTCGACCACTGAGTCACACTGGATGGGCTAAAATATTCATACTTTTTAACTCAGTATGTTCTACTTCTAGGAATCTATCCAGAGAAAATTATCAAATCTAAACATAACTGATCATTGCAGGGCAATTTTATAATGACAAAAAACTGGAAACAGTATCTCTATCAATAAAAAAATGATTATATTATGATAAAGTTACCTCTGATCAAAATTATAGAGTCATTAAAACCATGTGTTCCTCCTGGCCTGTGAGGCTCAGTGGCTGAATGTCGACCCATGAACCAGGAGGTCACAGTTCAATTCCCCTTCAGGGCGCATGCCCAGGCTGTGGGCTTGGTCCCCGGGAGGTGACATGTAGGAGGGAGCTGATTGATGATTCTCATCATTGATGTTTCTATCTCTCTCTCCCACTCCTTTCCTCTCTCTGAAATCAATAAAAAATACATTAAAACTTTTTTTAAAAACATGTTTTCCAAAACAGAAACAGACTCATAGCTACAGTGAACAAACTGAGGGTTGTCAGATGGAAGGAGGGTGGGGGTATGGATAAAAAGGTGAAGGGAATAAGAAGTTACAAAATAGCCACCGGAGTATAAAGCACAGCATAGGGAATATAGTCAATAATATTGTAATAACTATGTATGGTGCCACATGGGTACTAGAATTATCAGGGGGATCACTGCGTAAATTATATAATTGGATGGCCACTATACTGTACACCTGAAACAACTATAAAATAAAAAAAATGTTTTCAAAGAATGGTTATAATTTTGGGAAAACACCATGAAAGAATATTAAATGAAGGCAGAATACAAAATTTTATATAGGTATGTTTCCAAAGCTGTTCAAAACAAAAGTATTTTTTTAATCAGCATAGTAAAAAGACTTGAAAGAAATAAACCAATATATTACAGATGATTTAATTTTCTTTACAGATTTCCATATTTTTTAAGCTTAATACATTAAACAAGTATGTATATTAACTTTGTAATAAAAATACTAAACATTTAAAAAAGTTTAGCCCCAGCTGGTTTGGCTCAATGGATAGAGCGTCGGCCTGCGGACTGAAGGGTCCCAGGTTCGATTCCAGCAAAGGACACATGCCCGGGTTGCGGGCTCAATCCCCAGTGTGGGGCGTGCAGGAGGCAGCCAGTCAGTGATTCTCTCTAATCATTGACGTTTCTATCTCTCTCTCCCTCTCCCTTCCTCTCTGAAATCAATAAAAATATATTAAAAAAATAAAAAATTTAGAATACTTTTGATGAATTTTCTAGCAAAGTCCAGGATAATATTAAAAATAGGAGGAAATGAAAATGTTTCCACACTTAAAAGACCAGTATATGTAATGACAACAGCAAATTAGAGTATTCTAGTATAACAAACAAATATAATTTGTAATAGGAACAATGAGTTTTTGTAAGTGAATGTGACCAAGTATCGTACACCATAATATGGACTTGCTTAATAAACATTTTAGCTATTAGGAGGTCTCTCCCATCTCCCCCTAAGAAAAGTCAAAATCAAGAGGTAAATCTCATCACTGTGATTTAAGTTGCTATTTTTCTACCCTAGTGTATGGCCCATAGGTTGATCTGGTCAGAATAAATTATTTACAAAATATTATTGCTCAACAAATGTGTTCTCTGCTTACTGTCTAAAAATTTATGCTGAGAAAAGAGATGAATTATTGCTAATTTTTCACTTCTTTTGTCCTGTTATCAAGCAGCAATTATCCTTTAATTCTCTCATTGTAAATATCTCAATCTCCATGGCTAGGAAAAACAAAAGACTCAAACCATTTACTCCCCACTACTAAACTAAACTATACTAAACTATACTAAACTAAACTAAACTAAACTAATCCAAGGCTAAGTAGAGAAAAAGGATAAGGATAGGATTGCAGTTTCCTTTTACTTAATCTGTTAGAACACATTAATTTAACACAGAGACTATGTATCAGCTCTATTTCATGCCTAAATCTGCATATACTTATCTGTGTATTAAAATTCTATTACAGCAGAACAATTCTGAATTTTGGAATCACAATAGTGATCTAATATTTCATTAAAAAGAAAAACTATGTTATGTCAACTCTTGATCATCTGCGTGGACTCAGGGAGATGGTAGTATGGATAATACCAGACTAATTTTTATTTGCCATTGTTCAACTTTAGATTCAACTAAAGTAAAGAATGGCATAATTTTTACTATAAGATTATTTTGTCCACCCTTGACATTTTGCAAAAGAAGGACCTAAGACCTAGAGAGATTAAGTGACTTAAATGAAATTCTTGTGCTTTTTCAATACACCATGCTATCTCTTCATAATTAAAAAAGCTAGTAATATGTTTGTAGATAAAGAAGTGTCTGTATATAATTGGACAAAGAGCTTACTAAAGAAATAATTACTACACATGTATTATGTCATTCATCCTCATCTACCCAAATCCTGGCTTCACTCTAATTATAATCAACTGATAGAAAGTACAATGGGAGCTCTCACAATGGGTGATTCCTCTTACCATTACTGCCATGGGGTGGCATCGAGTTAAAAGAAGGACTCCATTTAGCTGCTAAGACAACAGAGAAAGGTAGAGGAAATAAACTCTTTATGTAGAGTATAGATAAAGGGGAAATAATCATTTTTTACTGCCAAATTAATTCAAAACTTCTCAACTATTTAAATGGAGCTTTGACTGTATTTTTCCAGGCTATAATGCATTTATATTATGAGTTAAGTAGAGACTGGTGGAAACCTAATGACCATATTTAACAAAGTTTCTATGGAAAAAACATATTTTAAGTTTCACATAGTTTACTTATGAAACTTTAAAGATATAACCTAATTATAAGTTTACTTGGATAGATTTAACAGATTCAAACATCTATTCTCACATTTATATGAATATGTAGATAAATATATAAAAGAAAGAATGAATTAGCTAATGAGTAAGTGAACAGGAAAATAAGTACAGGGACAGAGTTAGTTATGTGAAGAACAGGAAGAAAACCCTGAAAATTTAGGGAGGTAAGTCATTTTTTTACTCTCCTGGGATAATCACAAAGAACTCTCAACCTTATCTGCCCTTAAATATTTCCTGTCCCATTAACTATAACCAAGAGCTTCATATCTCTAGAGGCAGATAAGGAGAACTAGAGAGGACAGGAGAAGGTGACTAGCTAAAGGAACCATAGAATGCTAATTTCATACTAAATCTTGGTTGTCTAAGTAGATAAAGCAGTTAACACACCAAGTCAATAGTGTCAGCAGGTTTTTCAAATATATTCAGGTGTTCAATAATGTTTTTGAGATCCTGTGCCATTTGTTTCAACTGAACATCTATATTTTCTGCTAATTTGTAACTAAAAAAGCAAGTAAAGTAAAGGGATTAACAAGCAACAAATTTTTTCTCCACTTATGTATCATTACTAACATACAACAATGATACTGCCAACTGGACTTGCCCCAATTTCCCTACCTTCTCAGTGGGCCTCAGTTATGACTAATGGCACATTTTTATGAATGCAGTATTCATGACCTTATTATTACCATCCTATATAATAAAAAGCTAATATGCAAATCGACCAAACAGCAGAACTACCAGTCGCTATGATGCGCACTGACCACCAGGGGGCAGACGTTCAATGCAGGAGCTGCTCTCTGGTGGTCAGTGTACTCCCACAGGGGGAGCGCCGTTCAGTCAGAAGCTGGGCTCACGGGTAGCGAGCACAGCGGCGGTGGCAAGAGCCTCTCCCGCCTCCACGGCAGCCCTAAGAATGTCCAACTGCCAGCCTAGGCCCGCTCCCTCAGTTGGTCGGACATCCCCTGAGGGCTCCTGGACTGCAAGAGGACACAGACGGGGCTGAGGGACCCCCCACCCCCTGAGTGCACGAATCTCGTGCACCGGTCTCTAGTATTCTAAAAAGACTCCATAGGTGAAGGCTTTTACCCACCTTGCCATTTTTACAGTCACATATTCACCCTCTTGCTAATGTTCTGAAGCAAAATAGCCCTGAAACAAAGGAATTCTTTTGGGTGACAAAATAAACCCATAGGACATATTAAGAGTTATTCAGAGTTTAGTAGTATTCAGTAAGTGCAGACATGACTTCAATGACTTTGAATACATAAATTTTCAAAGTAAAATCTTATATAAATACTAGAGGCCTGGTGCATGAAAATTCATGCACTGGGCGGTGGGGGGTGGGGTGGTCCCTCAGCCTAGCCTGTGCCCTCTCGCAGTTGGGGACCCCTCAGGGGATGTCAACCTGCTGGCTTAGGCCCACTCCCTGGGGGATCAGGCTTAAGCTGGCAGTCAGACATCCCTCTGGCAGCCCAGGAGCCCTTGAGGAATGTCTGAATGACAGCATGAGGAGCGGACCTAAGCTGCAATCGGACATCTTAGCACTGCCACCAAGACGGGAGAGGCTCCCGCCACCGGAGCTGTACTCACAGCCATCAGCCCGGCTTGTGGCTGAGCAGAGCTCCCCATGTGGAAGCGCACTGACCACCAGGGGGCAGCTCCTGCATTGAGCATCTGCCCCCTGGTGGTCAGTGCATCTCATAGCAACCAGTCGGTTCCTGGTAGTTCTGCCTTTAGGGTCCATTTGCATATTACCCTTTTATTATATAGGATGCTCCATCATCCAACAAAAGATGTTTTGAGAAATAATACAATAATCAAAGGAAGATAAATTTGCTAAGTTCACAAAAAATTAATTAGTTGACTATTTTTAAGATTTCCATCCAAACTATTTACACACACACACACACACACACACACACACACACACAACTTAGTCAACATGTTTGAGAATGAAAGTGACCAGAGGGTTTTTCAACCTTAATGTTTATAAAGATTAAAAAATCAATTAGATTTATTGATAACTATGTACTGTCTTTCTGTCCCAAAGTACTTATATTTAATTGGTTGTCTAGATTGTTGAAGATTCTAGTACAGACTCTATCAAATTATAAATCTAACTACATAAAAGCAATTGGAAAACAAAACCACTAATGTTTCAATTATTTCTTCAAACTACAGTTAGGATCTCTTGGCCAAAAATATAACTCTATATGTTTCAAAGAAAAAATGACAGAATGGGTAGAATCACACGCCAACAAAAGATTCACAAAAACTGAAATACAAAAGCAGAAACAGAATAAGGGTCCATACAGATTAGCTGCACATTTAACGAACCTACAAAAATGTTAATTTAAAACTCTTAAAAATAAGCTTAGTCTTACCTCACTAATAAGCCATTGATAAAATAAGTCCAATTTAATCTCAATCTAGTTTACATAGAACATTCATACAAATTCTCCTAAGAACACTATATAATTTGGCTTAATTTTCTCTCAGTTCTAGAGGGATAAGTTACTGTGGGAACATTGGAAATATACCAATCGAAGGCATAGCCTGCACTGCACACAAATGAAATATATCCAGCCCAAGACAAATAAAATATATTCAGCCTAAGACATTGACAAAACCATTCAATTTTTAAAGTTATGCAGTTTGCCCCCAGATTAACAAATTGCCTTTAAAATAGCAAATACTTTATCACTGAAGTAATTGCATGAACATTAGTTTTAAGAGTCAATATAGATAACCAGAGGAAAGGGGGTGGGGGCGGAAAAGGGGTGGGGGATAAATGGTGATGGAAGGAGGGGGTGCACAGACAATACAATATACAGATGATTTATTATAGAATTATACACCTGAAACATATAATTTTATTAACCAACATCACCCCAATAAATTCAATTAAAAAGTAAAAAAAGGAAGTCAATATAAATAGCAGATCATAAATATCCTACAATACTATGACAACACAGCCATAAAATTTAAGAACAAAGTTGACAAATATAAAAACTTTACAGTGATCACATATAAGCTTGAAATTTTTAAATTTTGAGAATATGTTTATTAAAGTTGGGAACAGTGAAACAAGGAAGGGCTTAGGATAGAAGAAGCAACAGGAGAGAGACTAGGCAGGGCTTTGGCTCACTGGCAAGTCAGAGAAAAGGGGGCCTTGGAGATAGGTTCAGGGGGTTAGCCCAGCACAAGCTGCTGCTGCCCATTGCTCCCCTGATTGCAAGTCTCGTGGGGGGTTCTTTAGCATTTAGGAGATGCATGCCTGTGTAGGAAGAGGAGAGGGAAGGAAAAGACACAGGCATGCTTCCAGGAGGGAGAGCATGCACCAAGCTTGAAATGAGTAAGTCTATAAAATGCTGTAAAACAAAATTGTCAGAATGATTAATTTATTTTCAAGAATCCTAAACAGTCAATAACAACAACAACAAAATAGTCAAATAAGCTGATAAATGGCAACCACAAGAAGTTGTCCTACCAATTTTTATTCCTGACCTTTCAATTATTTTTCTCTTTTTAAGTAGCTGAGTTCTGCCCCATTCCCTATCTTTACTCAGTTACTTACATCCTCTCATGCTCCTCGTCTTCATACTTCTGATAAACAGAACTACTCTGGTCCTTCAAAGACTCCTCTAAAGGGATCCAGGGATCTTCTATTTCCTTCTGCTGCGACAGGAGAAAATCCGATTCATTTTTTAGCCTGGAAAAAAATTAGTCAACAGAAGGGCTGGTGAAAGGAATTTGGGAGTGACAAAGTATGTTGTAATCAACTACAATTAGGATAAAACACTAAAAAGATAGATCTTTAACCTGTCAACCTAGGGAATGTAAGATTCTACCTTTTTCTATCCAATTTTACTTTTTCCACTTCTCCATGTGAAACAGTAATCTATAAAGGAAAATAAGAATACAATAATGTAAGTATTTGAATTTATATTGTAATTTTAAAGCCGTATTAATTTTCTTTATATGCTTCAAATATGAAAGTGTTCCTAATTCAGGGCACTTACTATCTAAGAAAAATATTTTTAAGCTGATAACATATTGGAATAGAAAATGAACCACTAAACACAGGTCTATTCTCTTGTGTTCATCTGAAAATACTTGTCTAATGCAGGTAGATTAATGAGAATATCTTCTAACCTTTTCACCATTCTCAATGTATGTTCCCACGCATTGACCTGGGTGGTCTGATGAAGAGAGTGCTTCTCTTGATCCTCTAATTCAAGGTTCCATTTATTTATCAGATCGTCCAGCTGATGATATGTCATCACAGGAGTTATGATCGGACTAAAAAAAAAGAATGTAGTATGATCATACTTTTAAAAAGAATGATCTTAAATGGATAACATAGAGGACTTAGTGAAGAAAATAGTACATGAGAAATTTCTCAGACCTGCTCTCCCCAAAAAACCATAACTGGTAAAAGTTATTTTAAAAACAACTATTCAAAGTGTATGGAAATTGCCCTAACTGGTTTGGCTCAGTGGAGAGAGCGTCGGCCTGTGGACTGAAGGGTCCCAGGTTCGATTCCGGTCAAGGGCATGTACCTTGGTTGTGGGCACATCCCCAGTAGGAGGCATGCAGGAGGCAGCTGATCTATGTTTCTCTCTCATCGATGTTTCTAACTCTCTATCTCTCTCCCTTCCTCTCTGTAAAAAATTCAATAAAATATATTTAAACAAAAACAAAGTGTATGGAAATTATCCTAAGGAAATACAGTAAATACATATTTATTCCAAAAATCTACTAAATCTCATTAAAAATGGCTAAAGTCCTTCCACCTCAGCTCAGCATGATGATACATCCATTCTGCATCGGTGTAGCTAAAGAGATAGGACTCACTCAAGGTGATCCATTCCAGGTCTAAACAGTATTTTCAAAACTGAGTAGGCACCTGGTCTTCCATCCTTCACTAGGCAGAAAACCAAGCAACATTTCCATTCCCTTACCAGATGATATCAAAAAGGCTGAGCAGGTAGCCGATCTTTGATCCTCTGATGAGTGGAACCAGACTATGTTCTGATTTCTCTGCTGGGGCAAGTGTCACCAGGGTAGGTTGGAGAGATAATTACCAATTCCATGCCCAGCAGAGGCAGGCAATGTTCAATTTTCCTACCAGGCTACTGTCATCTCAGTACAGTGACAAACTGAACCAAAATCCCCACCCAGCAGCAACCAAGGCTCAATAAGGTAGAGTGAGACAGCATTAAGTACTGTTAGTCTTCAACCTTTGTCTTCAGTGTCAGTGGGACCCAGTGGGGATCTAACCTCTATATCCACCAGGCATCATTGAGACAGAAAGATAATGAAATTATGGGCTAGTAAGGACTCGAATTCCTACCACCCTTGATGTCAGTAAGGCTCACTGGAAAGCTTAACCTCCACACCCACTAGAAAAACCAAGACTCAATGAGGCAGGGCTAGTTAGCACTCTGTCCCCCTTCTCCCATAGCCTGTGTCAGTGAGGCCCAGTAGAGAGCTAAGCTTCCATATCAACCCAGCATCAATGAGACTGAATAAAGCAATATGAGGCAGAGCAGTTGACATTCTGCTTCCTCCTCCTCTTGTGTAGGTAAGGCTCAGTAGGAAGCTGAAATTCTGCCTCTATCCTGCAACAACTAAGCAGTATGAGTTAGTTATCCACTTTCCCTTATTCTGAGCACCTGAGGGCTGAGCTGGGAGCTAAGCTTATATTCCCACTTAGAGGCAATAAAGTGGTATGGCACACAAAGCCCCTCTTACATGGGGAAGTAGTCAGCAGGGCAGAGGTGGAGCTAAACATCTATCCAGGGGTCCTCAAACTTTTTAAACAGGGGGCCAGTTCACTGTCCCTCAGACCGTTGGAGGGCCGGACTATAGTTTAAAAAAAAACTATGAACAAATTCCTATGCACACTGCACATATCTTATTTTGAAGTAAAAAAACAAAACGGGAACAAATACAATATTTGTAGTTGCATGTGGCCCGCGGGCCGTAGTTTGAGGACCCCTGATACCATTCATCTGCATGGAGGCACTCTGAGTCAGTGATTCACTTTTGCTGGGATGGTATGAGCAGGGTATGATGGGAAGCTGAACATGCAAATGCACCCAACCCTTGCACTACACTTCAACAAAAGGACTGCCTGATGAAAAAAAGATTTAAATAGGACTCAGATTCTCCCAACATAACAGACAAAATGTCCAGAATAGAACTGAAAGTTACCTGTCATATCAAGAACCAGGAAAATCTCAACTCACAAGAGAAAAGACAATCTACCGATGCCAACATTGAGAGGTATCAGATATTGGAATTATCTAAAAAGAATTTTAGAGCAACCATCAAAAAAATGCTCTAACAGCAATTATAAATCCTCTGGAAACAAATGAAAAATCTCATCAAAGAAATAAAAGTTATGAAAAGTAACCAAATGGAAATTATAGAATTAAAAAATAAAATAACTGAAAAAGCTCACATGAAGTGTTTTACACTAGGGAGATGACAGAGAATAGAATCAGTGAGCTTGAAGCTAGGTCAACAGAATTTACAGAGCAGTAGAGAGAAAATAGGTACAAAAAGTGAAAATAAATCTCAAGGACTCTGGAGGACAGTAATAAAATAGGTGACATTCATAACATTAGAGGATGATACATTAGAGAGGAAAACAGAATGGAATTGAAAATGTTATCTGAAAAATAAAGGTTTAAAACTTCACAAATTTGGCAAAAGATATAAACTATTCAAGGAACTGAGCAAATCCCAAATAGACTAGTACACACAATATTTAATTTCTGAAGACAAAAGATAAAGAAAAACAATTTAAAAAGCAGATCTAAAAATACAATGAAGCAACAGCATCTAATTATCATTTATAGTTCACTTTTCCCAACAGCATAAAACACAACTTTCAGATGCACATGGAATATTCACTAAGAAAGACCATATCCTCATTCATAAAACAAACCTGAACAAATAGAAAAGAAATGAAATCATACAGAGTATGTTCTCCAAACATAATGGAATCAAACTAGAAATCAACCAAGAAAAATCTCCAAACACTTGGAAATTAAACAACACAATTCTAAATAATCTATGGGTCAAAGAGGAATTCATAAAAGAGATTTTGAAAGTACAGTTGACCCTTGAACAACTTTGGGGGTTAGGGACACCAACACCTCATGCAGTTAAAAATCTGTAAATAACTTTGTTCTTTTTCAATTATAGTTGATAGTTAATATTATTTTATATTAGTTTTGAGTGGAAAATCCATGTGTAAGTTTTGACACCCCAAAACTTAACTACTAATAGCCTACTGCTGACCCAAAGCCTAATCAATAACATAGTCGATTAACACATATCTTGTATATGTATTATATACTGTATTCTTACAATAAAGTAAGCTAGAGAAAAGAAAATGTTATTAAGAAAATCATAAAGACGAGAAAATACATTTACAGTTTTTATTTTTTAAAATCCGTATATAAGTGGACCCATGAAGTTCAAACCTAGATTGTTCAAGGGTCAACTATACATAGAATTGAATGAAAATGAAATAACAGCATAACTAGTCCAGCCAGTGTGGCTCAGTGGATGAACGCCGACCCATGAACCAGGAGGACATGGTTCCATTCCCAGTTAGGACACATACCCAAGTTGTGGGCTCAATCTCCAGTAGGGGACATGCAGGAGGCAGCCAATTTGATGATTCTCATCATTGATGTTTTTCTCTCTTTCTCTGCCTCTCCCTTCCTCTTTTTGAAATCAATAAAAACATATTTTTAAAAAAGAAAATACAAAAAAACTAAATATGTACACAGCTAATGCAGTATTGAGAAGAATATTTATAGTATTTAATGTTTACATTAGAAAAAAAGAAATATCACAAATCAATAATCAAAGTTCATACCTCAAACAACTAGAAAAAAAGAGAAAAATGAACCCAACATAGCAAAAAGAAAAGAAATAATAATGAGTAGATGTGAATAAAATTGAAAATAAAAACAATAGAGACTAGTCAATAAAACAAACTTATTTCTTTGGGAAAAGATCAATAAAATTGATATAAGAAAGGTACAAACCACCAATATCAGAGGTAAAATGGAAATATCCCTACAGATATTAAAAGGACAAAAAGGGAATAATGCAAACAAATTTACACTCATAAATTTGATAATGTAGAAGAAACAGATCTATTCCTTAAAAACCACACACTACTAAAATACATCAAAGATGAAACAGATAACCTAAATAGTCCTAGAACCACTATATAAATTGATTTGTAATTTAAAAGCTTCCAAAAATTAATATCCAGGCTTAGAGGTTTCATTGGAGAAATCTGCCAAACTTTAATGGATTAACACCGATTTTAAACAATTTCTTCTATAAACAGAAGAGAAAAGAATAGTTCCAGATCATTTTATGAAACCATTATTATCTGGATATCAAAATCAGAGATAGAATAAAAAAGATAGAAAACAAAACTTCAGAAATATCTCTCTCATGATTTTAGATACAACAGTCCTCAAACAAAATACTAGAAACTGAATCCAAAAATGTATAAAAAAATATATACCGAGTGGTATTTATTCCACATATGTATGGCTGGTTCAATATTTGAAAAACAATCAATGTGATTCACTATACTATCAAGCTAAGGAAGAAAAATCTTTTTTAAAATATACTTTTCTTGATTTCAGAGAGAGGAAAAGAGAGGGAGAGAGAGATAGAAACATCAATGATGTTGCCTCCTGCATGCCCCCTACTGGGAACGAGCCTGGAACCCAGGCCTGTGTCCTAGCCAGGACTTGAACCATGACCTACTGGTTGGTGGACCAATGCTCAACCACCGAGCTACACTGATAGGGCAAGAAGAAAAATCTTAAATGATCATATCAATTAAGGCAGAAAAGGCATTTAACACAAATATGTCGGTTGAGAATGGTGAAAAAGCAATTCAATGGAGGAAGATAGCCTTTGAACAAATGATGATGGAAAAATCAAACATCCCTAGATTAAAAAAAGAAGGAATCTCAATAAAACTCACACCTTATACCAAAATTAACTCAAAATAGATCATGACCTTAAATGTAAAATGTAAAAGTATAACTAGAGTTAGACAAAGAGTTATTATATTTCATATTAATAGAATAATCCATTAAAGGAAAATTTGGTAAATTTGACCTCATCAATTTAAAGTTTTTGACAAAACACCATGTTGAAAATATAAAAAGACAAGTTACAGAGTTAGAGAAAATATTTATAAACCACAGGAGACTGGCTTGTCCTCGGAAGCCTAGCATTTTTTGAGGGGAGAGCTACTGTAACTGGGAGCCAGGCTTCACCCCCACCCAGGGTGCCCTCAGACACCTGGGACTCTACAGACACCCCTGCCAGGGAACTGCTACCTCGGCTGTGGTCCCACGGTCAACGAGTCTCCAGCCACCCTGGGCGCAGGCTCCTGTGAGTTCTGAAGCATGCTCCCCTCTGACCAGCCCAATGCCTTAGCCCAGGGCACTGCAGCCACGCAAGCAGCAGACACATGAGCAGCCCAATCCTGTCCAAGGAGCAGCAGCCTCATGAGCAGCCTGCCCCAGGCCTAAGAGCAGAAACCTCACGTGGCCTGCCCCTGTCCAAGGAGCAGCAGCTGTCAGCTGTGTCAGTGGCCCACTCCCTCATCCGAGGAGCAGCAGCCACATGAGCAGCCTGCCCACGATTGAGGAGCAGCAGCCCCACGCAGCCCACCCCCATCCGAGGAGCAGCAGCTGTGCAGCCCACACCCTCCTCCTGTCTGAGGAGCAGTAGGTGTGCGAGAAACCTGCCCCCATCCAAGGAGCAGCAGCTGCACGAGCAGCCTGCCCCCATATGAGGAGCAGCAGCGGTGTGAGCAACCCATACCCATACAAGGAAGAGCATCGCTGCAAGCAGCCCGCTCCCATTCAAGGAGCAATAGCCGCCCCAGCAGCCTCCCCCAGTCCAAGGAGCAGCAGCCACACGAGCAGACCACCCACGTCTGAGGAGCGGCAGCCCTGCGCAGTCCACACTGGTCCGAGGAGCAGCAGACACACGCAGCCTGCACCTGTCCGATGAGCAGCAGCTGGGTGAGCGGACTGCCCCCATCCGAGGAGCAGCAGCCACACAAGCAGCCCATCTCCCATCTGAGGAGCAGCAGCTGCGCAAACAGCCTGCACCCGTACGACAAGCAGTAGCCCTGTAGGCAACCTGCTCCTGTCAAAAGAGCGGTATCCTCATGAGCAGCCTGCCCCATCTGAGGAACAGCAGCAGCATGCAGCCAGCCCCGATCCAAGGAGCTGCAGCCACATGAGCAGTCCGCGCCCATCCCAGGAGCAGAAGCCACGTGAACAGCCCGCTCCTGTCCAAGGAGCAGCAGCCACGCTCAGCCCACCCCTACCTGAAGAGCAGCAGCCTCATGATCAGCCCACCCCTGTCCAAGGAACAGCAGCTGGGCGAGCAGCCTCACCTATTAGCCAGAGGAGACACCGCTGCTGCGAACAGCACCCACCCAAGGAGCCGCTGCCAACTGAGGAGCAGCCACTACAGCGAACACTTGAGGGGCAACTGCAGCCCAAGGAACCATTGCCACCCAAGGAGCAGCCTCTGCACGACTCGACATATAGATCAGTTGGTGAGACCAAAAATGGGTAGACAAAAAAAAAAAAAAACCCAAAGGAAAGAAAAGGATGAATCGCCAGAAAAGCGGCTAAGTGAAACAGAGGCATGCAATATGTCAGAAAAAGAATTCAAAATAAGGGTCCTAGAGTGCATAAACCTGATGGAGGAAAAAATCAACAACTTATGCAAGAATCAAGAAGAAATGGATGAAAAAATCAACAACTTTTGTAAGAATCAAGAAGAAATGAAACCCCCTGGCAATGGGCAAGGAGACACCTGATTGGTGGTGTTGCTCTTATATCAGTCAGGGGCAAAGCAGATGTACAGTCCTTAGTTCATCCTAGCTTGATGCCTGTGTCGGTGGCCAGAGCTGTTTCATGCCTGAGGCACATAAAAAAAATAAAAAGAAGAAATGAAGAGTGATATAGCTGCAATAAAAAACACCATGGAAAATTTCAAAAGTAGACTAGGAGAAGCGGAGGACCGAATTAGCAAATTAGAAGACAGGGAAGCAAAACACCCAAACTGAACTGCAATTGGAGAAAAAATTAAAAGACAGGAGGAGAGTCTAAGGGAGCTATGGGACAACATGAAACGAAGCAACATACGAATAATAGGGGTGCCAGAACAACAGGAAGAGGAACGAGGCTTAGAAAACCTATTCGAAGAAATATTGTCCGAAAACTTCCCTGATGTGGGGAAGAAAAAAGTCACACAAGCACAGAGAGTCCCAAACAAGATGAACCCGAAAAGACCCACACCAAGACACATCATAATTACCATGGCAAATGTTCAGGACAAAGAGAGAATCTTAAAGGCTGCAAGAGAGAGATAGAAAGTTACATACAAGGGATCTCCCATTAGAATATCAAATGATTTCTCAACAGAAACACATCAGACCAGAAAAGAATGGAAGGAAATTTACAAAGTGATGCAAAGCAAGGGATTGAATCCAAGAATTCTCTATCCAACAAGGCTATCATTCAAAATTGAAGGGGAAATAAGAAGCTTCACAGACAAAATAAGGCTAAGGGAGTTTATCATTACCAAGCCAGCAATGCAAGAAATACTAAAGGGACTGGTGTAAACAGAAGAAATAAAAAGGTAAGAACGAACACAGGCACAAAAAATAAAAATGGCTACAAACAAGTACTTTTCAATAATAACTTTAAACGTAACAGGAGGGATCCTTGTGGTGATGGAACTGTTCTGTTATCTTGACTGTATCAATGTCAATATCCTACATATGATATTGTACTAGAGTTATTATTGGGGGAAACTGGGTACAAAGATACAGATTTTTTTTGTATTATTTCTTAGAGGTACATGTGTATCTACAATTATCTTAAAATAAAAAGTTAATAAAAAACAAGGACAATTAGAGAGGAATATGACATAGACTGTAAGAATACAGGTGTTGGAGTTTGACTGCTTGAATTTTAATCTTGGCTCAACCATTACCAAATGTGTGATCAGGAACAGATTGTAAAATCTCTATGTGCTCCAGTTTTCTCATCTATAAAATGGAAACAAAAATACTGCCTATCTCATAGGGTTACTGTGAGGATTAAATATGATATTTATAAAGCATTGTCAAATTACTAAACATATAGTAATTATACAATAAATGTTAGCTATTATTACTAATAGCAATAATTTTATTATAATGGCATTCCAGGACAAAAGTATCCTGTTAGTTGTTCAATTTCCTAAACTACAAAAATCCTTTCTCTAACATTTTCTTCAACTCTTGAGTCATTTACTTAATTTTCAAACACTATTCCAAAGCTGCACAAACAAATTATACCTGTACATGATAAATAAAATTAAACTCACACACATTTTCAAATAACAGGCTTACTTAACAGTCGAAGTTAAAGGTATAGAAGACAAACCGACTGGAATAGTGTACTTAATCCCAGTTGCTATCAGTGGTTTTCGACTGAAGGTAAATTCACTAGTGGTTGTGGTGGTGGTGGTAGTGGTGGTGGTGGTAGTTGTTGATGGTGTAGCTGGAAAATAAAATGTATAATGTCAGTAGGAAATGAGAAACTTTTATTTAGTCCTTGATGATTCAGGACAAAAACTATAATAGAAGCATATTTGTTGTTGTTGTTTTTTTTTTTTTTTTTTTTGCAAAACTCCCAAAGTCTTGAATCTTTTTAAAAATGTTTTCATTGATTTCAAAGAAAGAGGGAGCGGGAAAAACATCAATGTGAAAGAGAAATGAGAGAGAAATATCCACTGGCTGCCTCCTACAGGACCTCTACTATGGATCAAGCCTGCTCACTATTGGGGATCAAGCCTGCAACCCAGGCATCTTCCCTGACCAGGAATCGAACCTGCAACCCTTTTGGTGCATGGGAAGATGCCCAACCAGCTAAGCCACACCAGCCATGGCTATAGAAGCATTTTTGAAAAATGTGAATTAAACTCAAAGTTGTATGCACTTAAATTCAATATTGTAATATGAAGTGATATATGGCAGGCCAGGTATTTGGATTAATCTTCCCACTGAAAACTAAAACTCCTGGATAAATTCATAGAAAAAAAAATTTACAATCAACCATATCTATGACCATTAAAGAAATTGAATTAATCCTCAAAACTCTTCCCATAAAGAAAACTTCAGACCCAGATGACCTCACTAGTAAGTTCTACTAAATTTTCAAAGAAAGAAGACTTGCAATCGTACACAAACTCTCTGTACATCATCTATCTTTGCATACTTACATGAATACATCTGTGTAATTAATTTCTAGAAATGATATTGCTGAAGCAAATGGCCAGCATGCTCTAAATTTTAATATATCTTGGCATATTGCCCTATGAAAAAGATTTACCAATTTACATTCCTATCAATAGGAAGGGGTACTTATTGATACCCTTACATCATAGCCCATACAAGGCATACATCTTTGCCAATCTGATAGATAAAAGCTTCTCACAGTTTTGTCTACAGCACAGACCTCTCACCTATGTATCTTCTTCAATTGCATCTTTACTAGATTGCCCTGTCCAATGCAGATGAAATCCTCAGTATACATCATGACCTAACTCAAAATTTTCCTTCCCCCTGTTTATTGACCACTTATCATCTAATAATCGTTATCTCTTGGTTTCCAGAACTTCTATAACACTTTTGCTTTTTCCTAAACACTAAACACCTAAAGAACAATGCTCAGCCCACAGGTGTGGCTCCTTATGGGCTTGATTCCCAGTACAGGGTGTACAGGAAGCAGCTAATCGATGATGTTTCTCTCTCATTGATGTTTCTATCTCTCTACCTCTCTCCCTTCCTCTCTCTAAAAATCAATTAAAAACATATTTTAAAAAATAACAATTTTCAGAACACCGTGGCTGGGGAGACTGGAAATGTTTTCTTCCTTTTGGTTCTCTGTATTTTTCAAATGTTATAGTTAAATGCTGCTTCTATAACAAAAATATTTTAAAATATACTATAACATTAGCCTTGATTTCCCCATTAGCAATATTTTCAGGCTAACAGATGCACTAGATAATGCCAACATGGCCTGACTATTTTAAGGGAAACTGGCCTACTCTATTCCTGCTGAGGGCTCAAGCTCATATTTTATTCGATCAACTCTGTCCTTTGATCCTGGTTCACAGTTGACTGGGACAAGGATGAACATCTACGGTAAAGTACAGGAAGTCATCCTATGTGCTACCGGCAGCCTATGAGAAGGTGTGGCATAAAGAGATGTAGCCAAAAAGGGATAAGATGGGTCAGAATCTTATCTTCAAAAATTCAGAACTATGGAAACAACCAGACTATATGCAGAAATATGGAAATATTTCCAGAAATACAGCATGGAAAGCATTAGACTTTAGCAGAAATTTGGAAATATTTGCAAAAGTGTAGAAAGAATCAGTCCTACAAGTAGAGGGAGTTGAAAGGACTGTTAGAGGAAGAACATGAAGTAGAATTAAGGGGCCATGAACAAGTAAAAATTAAGAATAAACTAAAACAGTAAGGCAGAAAAAGTGGTAAGAAAACCAATGGGAAGTTATAAAAAAGAAGACAAAGGACAGTAACTGAATTATGTTCATGCAATATTAGATTCAGGAGGTCCCTAAGGCTGCCTTTAGAACACCTTGAAGTGCCACGATAATACCTGTATTAGATTTCCACAAGATTCCATTTCCCTTTTGGCCATAAGGATCCTTACAATAATTTCCCCCATTCTTCATGCTAGTCTTTGGGAGGATGGAATGAGTGCCACAGGGGAAGACCATGCCCAATCATAAAGGTTCCTTGTGATTACTATCCATCAAAAACACTGGAGACACTACAGATTGGATCCTGTGTGGCATTCTTTATAGCCATATGTCATCGTGTTCTTCATCTGAGAATAATAATCTTATATAAAAAAATCCTTCCCCAGAAATGCTGAAAAATTAATGACACTATTAAAGAGACCCTCCCTTTAATAATTAATTTATCCAAACACTGGGTAACTACCAAATTCAAACACAAGAACAATTAAGGAAAAATGAGTCTTGAACCTGAAACTATTATAATATGGTATATCAATTATATTGAAGTTAACAATTTTAAATAACAAAACAGAAAATGAAACATTATAAAGGAGCTTATCTTTACCCAAAGAAAAATTTTTTAAAAGTAATTTAGATTAATAAAAAAAAATTCAGTCTACACACAGACAAAAAAGGTAATCTATATTTATTGAGGTGATCACTTTGTAAGTTATATAAGTGTCTAATCACTATTGTACTGAAGCTAATATAATATTTTATGTCAACTATAATAGAAAAATAAAAACATTTAAAATAAAAAATATAAAAATTAAGAAATTTTCTATAGAAAAAAAAGTAATCTGCATTTCTTGACATGGACAGATATCCAAAGAGGAAAGGCAAATTCTAAGATTGTGTGTGTATTCCATCTTTGTAAAACAAGTACATTTAATGTATGTTTGTATGTGTTTGGAAAAAGGCTGGAAAGATAAAAACCAAACTGTTCTCTCTACATATATGTTTATATGCATGTGTATATGGTTTTTATAATTAAAAAAGTAACATGTAACATCCCTACCTTTAAAGAAACAGATACACAGGCCAATAAAACACCTTCTGGAGTTGTTAAATAATACCTTCAATAAATTAATACCTGTCAACTTCAATATAAATGAATCTTGAGTCATAAAAAATGGTATGATTATTTAAACACATTTATACAGTATCTTTGTTTCTTTTTTATGCTATCTTATGCAGGTATAAATTAGCTCTGGCATAAGACATAATATTTAAAGAAGCAATGGATTTGAGAATGAAGGTTCTATCACAGTCTGATTTTACAAACTACAACTTTGGTCTTAACTAAATATAGTCAGCTCTATATATCTGTGTAGTAAAAGGAAATCACAATTCTATAACTAACAAAATAATTGCATACCAAACTTGGATTTACATCTAAATGAATCTCATTCTGATGGCCTTAAAATCTACACTAATAAAAGACAAAGATGCTAATTGGCCATACCTTCTCTACGCCCTAAGCCACGCCCACCAGCCAATCAGAGCAACTATATGCAAATTAACCCAACCAAGATGGCGGCCTGCAGCCATGGAGCCAGAGCAAGCAGGAGGCTTGGTTGCCCGGGTGATGGAGGAAGCCAAGCTTCCTGCTGGCCCTGAGCTGGTTGTGGCCTCTGCTCATTGCAACAAAGTTTCAATTATAGAAGACAAATAAATCCCAGATACCTGCTTCCAGCCAGCCTCCACTGGGAGCTTGGGTGGCTGGGGGTTGTGGCCAGCCTGCAAACAGCCATCAGGCCCTCATCCAGGCTGGCCACACCCTCATGGGGTGAGGGTCCCCGCTGGGGGGCTTAGCCAGCCTGAAAACGGCCCTCAGCCCCTCACCCAGACTGACCAGGTACCCCAGCAGGACCCCCCACACTGAAGTGTTGGAGACCAGGTAAGCTGACATGGTCCTTGCACCTGAAGGGGCTAGCAAGGCTGGGACCTTTACCCACACAGTTTTCCCAGACTTGTTTGGATGGTGGTTATCAGTAGAATGAGAGCAACCTTTGTAGAATGAGAACAGCCTTTCATGGCTTACCAAGAAGCCATGAGATTTGCTGTACCGAGAACTTGTCCTTCTGCTCTGTCCTCCCTTAGAGATTAAGAGACACAAAGAATACATTCCTCTTGACAGACCTCCTATTCAGTGTGTTGTGTATAAAAAGCATTGTGTGGTTAATAAACTTGCTGCAGTTCCTCGATTGAGCTGTAGTCCTCCCAATCCTGCTTTCCTGTCTTTCTTTTTTTCTCAATTCCCACCTCCCTACCTCAGCCCGGCTCAACCTGTCAGGCTGGCCCTGACACTGAAGGGGCTGTGGCCAGCCTGAAAACGGCCCTCAGCCCCTCACCCAGGCTGGCCAGGCATCCCAGAGGGGACCCCCACCCTGAAGGGGCTGTGGCCAGCCTGCAAACAGCCACCAGCCCCTCACCCAGGCTGGCCAGGCACCCCAGTGGGGATCCCCACCCTGAAGGGGCTGCGGCCAGCCTGCAAACAGCCATCAGCTTCTCACCCAGGCTGGCCAGGCACCCCAGGAGGAACCCCTACCCTGAAGGGGCTGTGGCCAGTCTGCAAACAGCCATCAGCTCCTCACCCAGGCTGGCCAGGAACTCCTATATGATAAAAGGGTAATATGCAAACTGACCCTAACAGCAGAAAGACTGGGAATGACTGGTCACTATGACACACACTGACCACCAGAGGACAGATGCTCAATGCAGGAGCTGCCCCCTGGTGGTCAGTGCGCTCCCACAGGGGGAGCTCTGCTCAGCCACAAGCCAGGCTGATGGCTGCCAGTACAGCGGTGGTGGTGGGAGCCTCTCCCACCTCCTCAGCAGTGCTAAGGATGTCCGACTGCAGCTTAGGCCTGCTCCCGCTGGCAAGTGGACATCCCCCGAGGGCTCCCGGGCTGCCAGAGGGATGTCTGACTGCCAGCTTAGGCCCAATCCCCCCAGGGAACGGACCTAAGCCAGCAGGTGGTCATCCCCCGAGGCGTCCCAGACTGCAAGAGGGCACAGGCTGGGCTGAGGGACCCCCCACAAGTGCACAACTTTTTGTGCACCAGGCCTCTAGTCATTATATAAAATAGTGAAAACATCCTTTCAAAGATTCTACTATCCAATTTTCCTTTCTTGTCCCAGATCAACAACTGTGTATCTCACTCCATGCTGGGAATGAACATCATCACCTTCTCAGACTTAAGCAAATAATGAGAGTGATAACAAACTTCTCTTAAAACTTGCTGTTTATACCTAGGGTGAAGAATCATCCCAAATGGTTATACATTTTCAGACACAGACACCTGAAAGCTGCACTACAAGGCTGATTTGTGAGGTGAAGTATCTGAGCAAGTAAATACACTTGGGCAGAAGAAAAGGTGAGTAGGGGAAAGAAACAACTCAGGGTTGTTGGTGTGGAGTTGAGACATATCAGATGGGGAGATGGGTAAATACATAAGGTTAATTTGAATGAAATGGCAATAAAGAATGAGCTAATAGCAAAGGTACCAGTTTGCAGGTAGAAATTTGAGACTTAAATAGGTAGGGGGAGGGTCCTGGCAGAGTCACAAAAAACCTGCCAATTCATATTTCAATGACGCAACATGACTGAAAAATAGTTCTTTGTTCAGCATTTTATAAGAAAATCATGTGTTATATTTTCTGCAAATACAATAACTTGTAAAGTTCTCAGACACATCCTTTACAACTCTCATAGGTTGGCCAGTTAGTATAGTACACAGTACAAACTCAGTTAAGTGTTGGCTGTGCGAATTTATAATAGAGCGTGTACAATTCAGGGGTCCTCAAACTTTTTAAACAGGGGGCCAGTTCACTGTCCCTCAGACCATTGGAGGGCTGGACTATAGTTTAAAAAAAAACTAGTCGGCTGCTAAGCAACAGGCAGCGGCGGCAAAAACACCCGGCGGGCTGGATAAATGTTTTCGGCGGGCCGCATGTGGCCCGCGGGCCGTAGTTTGAGGACCCCTGGTGTACATATTTGTTTAGGAATAATTACTTTAAGGTTAAAAGGTATTAATTTTTAGTTTATGCCAGGTTTGAAGAAAGATTCATTTCATTCCTAAGCAAACTTTTTAAAGTAAAAACAAACAAGACTTCCTTAAAATGGAGTCTGATTTAAATGGTAGATTTAAGTAGTAACTGTCCCTTAACCACTCAGGTCACCATAACTATAAGGCAATGGGTAACCAAGTTTTCTTCAACCTACAACCTTATTAGCTCCTAAGTGGTAGAAACAAATTTAGGATAGGTCTAAAGAAACTCATTTTAGGAGAGGGCCAACTTCTATGCAGGTCAAAAATTAACTTTTAAAGAAAAAAACCTATCAATCACAATATATTGGGCCAATTTAAACACCATGATCAATAGTAAAAATTCCTAAGTCTTACTAGATGCTGCTCCACCCATTCCAGGGAATATTAATCCAAATCCCAAAGTTATACCACCAAATGTTTCAGCCAAAATTGTTGGGTCACGCACTGCAGAGAAGAACATAATATTACCTATTATACTTTTAATAAAAAAGTGAGAAATTTATATAGTCTTTTTCATCTGAAGAGACCTTTAGAAGCTTTTGGCTAAACTTCAAAAAACTATGGTCAATCCATTTATACGAAATATCCAAAAAAGGCAAATCTATGGATACAGAAAATAGATTAGCTGATGTCTGGGGATGAGCAATCTTTTTGGGGTGATACAAATGTTCTAAAACTGGATTATAGTGAGAATTACACAATCAATAAATATTAAAAACACTGAATTATACACTTAAATTAATTTTATATGTAGTTATACTTCATTAAAATTAAGTTTTAAAAAGTACAGTGGTCGAGATTTCATTTTGTAGGCAAAGGCACCAAAGGCAGAAAGGAGAAAAGCCTGTTAAAGGTAACAGGGAAAGTCTTTGATTGAAAATGGAATTCATTCAATAATTTTAACTCCCAACTTCAGATATGGTGATATTCAAGAAATCTATTGTTGTTGAGAGGGATATTGCTTACATATATCAAAAGCTTTCCAGAATCTCAGTCATGTCTCAAAATTGGAAGTCTACTTTGTAGAAAACACAACTCAAATGGTAAACAACAATTTTAACTAATGTTTATCTATGCCAGTTGCACAAGAGGGATGGTACGCCACTATTTTTCATGCTTGACGAGGCATCAGCAATTTCTGGCAAGTTTTATTCCTGGGAATGGTGACAATCTTGCTATAATAGGACTTCGGGGAAAACATATTACAGCTAGGACTACAATAACAAAAACTAATGATGAACATCATGGCCCTGGGAAGATGCCTCAAAAGCACAGTCAGCTTATTGACCTATAAAAAAGAATTGCCTGACATATATATTGAGTTCAATATTCTCAACATTTGCTATTACTCTATTAATGGATGATGTGGAGCAAAGATGTTGGGATTATGAGATAATTAATGTCTCACTTTTCAGCTCAAAGAGTCCAGATGTTACCTTCAAAAGGAGAGGCCATGAGATATCACACAGTGTCAATTAAAACCCAAAACCACAGCTGGTCCTTTTGTCATGTAACACTTCTGATAGGTAAAAAGTAAAGATCATAAACCTGGTCTATATAGAATACACTATAGCAAGGCTCCAACATTTATTTTCTTATGTTATCTTACTCACATGGATAATAAGGCTTCTTCCCTTTAGACATACTTGGCAATACGCCCAACTCTTCCTATTCACATTAGCTGCAAGAAGTTGTTTCTAGACATTATGATGTTAATGAATTATATGCTTAAATGATCACTTTAAGCTGTAATAATCATGTTAATATAAAATTCACAACTAATTTTAAATTCACAGCAATTCAGTTCTTTAAGAAAGCTACTATTAATATTAGCAGTTACAGATGGGGCCAAGTATAATGATAATTTATAAGATGCAGGGGATCCATATTTATATTAGAAAATTGAGTTAAGTGTCCTGATGCAAAACAATATTTTCTTTGTAACCAGTAACTTACATGAGAACCAAGTAGCAGCAGAAGTGGAAAAATTTGATATTGATGTATACAGCATGGTGCTCGAACTAGTAGTAGTGTCAACACTAGATGCTGGAGTCAAACCTTAAAAAACAAGTAAAAACCATACAAATATGTCACATTGAAAACTACAAGACATTGTTGAAGGAAACTGAAGAACACACAGAGAAATGAAAAGATATTTCATGTTTATGGATTGGAAGAATTAACATTGTCACAATGTCCATATTACCTAATGCAACCTATTGATGCAATGCAATCCCTATCAAAATCTCAATGGCATTTTTCACAGAAATAGAACCAAAAAATTCTCTAATTTGTATGGAATCACAAAAGACCCCAAATAGCCAAAGCAATCCTGAAAAAAAAAAACAACCCACAACAAAAACAACAAATAACAAAACCAGAAGTATCATACTCCCCAGTGTGGTATTCACAGAAAAACAGACACACAGACCAATGGAACAGAATTGAGAACCCAGAAATAAACCTACACATAAATAAGCAACTAATTTACAACAAAGGAGCCATGCATATGCAATGGAGAAAGAAAAGTCTCTTCAATAAATGGTGTTGGGAAAATTGGACAGCCAGATGCAAAAGAATGAAACCAGACCATTATCTTAGACTATACATAAAACATAATTTTTAAAATACATTATAACAAGATTCATTTATATGCAGAAATACAAATAAAAAGAAGGAAAACTGGCTACTCTGAAATGTAATGAATGTGACATAGTGAAAGCATGATTAAAAATATAGTTTGTGGGTCACAGGAGAACACTAACTGTGTGACCCAGAGCAACCAGGAGCCTGCTCCATTCCGAGCCCCAGGACTTGCTGCCAGGGTGGCCTCAGCAACCCAGCACAGGCCACAGGGAGCACTGACTTTGTGACCCACAGCAACTCAGCGCCCGCTCCACCCCAAACCCCGGGAGTTGCTGCTGAAGCAACCTGGAGCAACTCAGCACATCCCACTCTGGCCTGGAACAGTGCTGCTGGGGCGACGCAGAGCAACCTGACACGTGCCCCACTCTGGGTCACAGGACAGTGCAGCCGAGGCAACCTGGAGCAACCCAGTGTGCCCAGCCATGGGCCACAGGACCACGTTGCAAGTGCACTGCCAGTGGTACCTAGGGCGCCAGCCTGCAGCAGGTGCCAGGGCCTCACAGTGAATTGCATGCCAGAGGGCTTTGGGTCCTCAAAGGGAGTTGCACAATAGAGGAACTTTACACATGCCCCCACCACCCCGAGCATCTGAAGCGGATAACTGAGGGACCAGATCTGTGGGAGAAGGGGATACAACTCAGAACAGAGACAATAAAGGTGTGAGACTCAAGGCAGACCCAACCTCTAGGATGATGATTTCTGAAGCATTGGACCGATAGGGTCTTCAACCTCTCAGGCTCCAAGCAGAGTGCCCAAGACCAGAAAGAGAAAGCAAAATGAGGAGACAAAGAAACAACCTCCAAAGGAAAGGAAAGGGGGAAATCACTGGAAAAGGAACTAAATAAAATGGAGGCAAGCAATATGTCAGAGAAAGAATTCAGAGTAATGGTTATAAAGATGCTCAACCACCTGGATGAGATAATCACCAATATGTGTAGGAATCAAGAGAATGACATAGCTAAAATTACAACATAAAAAAAGGTTTTAATAGAGGACTAGAAGAAGCAGAGGATCAAATCAGCGAGTTAAAAGATAGGGTAGAAAAAACACCCAATCTGAACAGCAATTGGAAAAAAAAATTAAAAAGCAGGACAGTTTAAGGGAGCTTTGGGACTACATGAAATGAAGCAACATCTGCATAATAGGGGTGCCAGAAGGACAAGAAGAGGAGCAAGGATTAGAAAACCTATTTGAAGAAATAATGACATAAAACTTCCCTGACTTGGGAAAAATAAAGGTCACACAAGCAAAGAGAGTCCCAAAATAGATGAACCCAAAAAAACCCACACCAAGACACATCATAATTACAGCAGCTAATATTAATGACACGGAAAAAATATTAAGAGCTGCAAGAAGGAGACAGAAAGTTACCTACAAGGGATCTCTCATTAGACTATCAAATGATTTCTCAACAGAAACACATCAGGCCAAAAGAGAATGAAATGAAGTATACAAAGTGATACAAAGTAAGGGACTAAATCCAAGAATACTTGATCCAGCCAGGCTATCTATCATTCAAAATTGAAGGGGAAATCACGAGCTCCGCAGATGAAAAAAGGCTAAGGGAGTTTATTACCACCAAGCCAGAAATGAAAGAAATGCTAAAAGGATGGTTGTAAAAAGAATAAATAGAAAGGGAAGAAGAAACACAAGTATAAAGAATAAAATGACAATAAACAAGTACATACCAATAATAACCTTAAACATAAATGAATTAAGTGCCCCAATCAAAAGATGTAGGGTGGATGAATGGATAAAAAAAAGCATTATCCATATATATGCTGTCTATAAGAGAACCACCTCAGAAAAAAGGACTCACAAAGATGGAAAGTGAAGGGATGGAAAAATTTGTTTCAAGCAAATAGAAATGAAAAAAAAAAAAGCTGGGATAGCAATACTTAGACAAAATAGACCTCAAAGTGAAGGCCATAGAGATAAGGAAAGCCACTTCATAATAGTAAAGGGATTGATACAAGAGGATATAACTCCAGTAAACATATATGCACCCAATGCAGGAGCACCCAAATACATAAAAAAAACTTCAAAAAGATATAAAGAGAGAGATTGACAACAATAGAATCAGAGTAGAGGACTTTAATATCCCATTGACATTACTGAAGAAATCTTCTAGAAAAAAAAAATAAAAAAGAAACAGAAATTGATATCTTCAGAACATTTTACCCAAAAGCTATGGAATATATACAATCTTCACAAGTGCACACGGGACATTTTCAAAGATAGGACACATATTAGGACGAAGGCTAAGTCTCTTCATATTCAAGAAGATAGAAATCATAACAAGCATCTTCTAAAATCACAATGGCATAAAATAAGAAATCAACTACAATAAACAATCAAACACTTGCAGGTTAAATAGCATGCTATTAAACAATGATTGGATTACCAAAGAGATCAAAGAAGAAATAAAAAACATCCTGGAAACAAATGATAGTGAAAACACAACAATCCAAAATCTATGGGACACAATAAAAGCAGCCCCGAGAGGAAAATTAATAGCACTACAGGCCTACCTCAAAAAAAAAAACAACAACAAAAAAAACACACAAGAAAAACAGGTAAAAATTATCTAACCCTACAACTTAAAGGATTAGAAAAAGAGCAACAAGAAAAGTCCAGAGTCAGTAGAAGGGATTAAATAATAAAGATCAGAGCAAAAGTAAATGACATAGAGACCCAAAAAACAATACAAAAGATCAATAGAACCAAGAACTGGTTCTTTGAAATGATAAACAAGATTGATGAACCTCTGGCCAGGCTCATAAAGAAGCAAAGAGAGAGGACCCAAATCAATAAATGAAAAAGGTGAAGTAACAACTGACCCCACAGAAATACAAAGGATGTTAAAAATATTATAAACAACTCTATTCCAACAAACTGGACAACCTAGATGAAATAGACATATTCTCAGGAAAATACAATCTTCAAAAACCCATTAAGGAAGAATCAGAATATCTGAATAGGCTAATAGCTACTGAGGAAATTGAAGCAGTAATAAAAAAACTTCCAGCAAATAAAACCCCTGGTCCAGACTGCTTCACAGGGAATTTAACCAAACATTCAAAGAAAAATTAAAACCTACAGTCATCAGACTATTCCAAAAAATTCAAGAGAAAGGGACATTTCTAACCTTCTTTCTATGAAGCCAGCATTATCCTGATCCCCAAACCAGATAAAGATGCTACCAAGAAAGAGAATTACAACCCAATATACCTAATGATCATAGATACTAAAATCCTCAACAAAATATTAGCAAATCACATCCAACAATACATTAAAAAGATCATATACCATGACCAAGTGGGATTTATTCTGAGTATGCAAGGCTGATACAAAATCTGCAAATCAATGAACGTGATACATCATATAAACAAATTGAAAGACAAAAATCATATGATCATATCAATTGATGCACAAAAAGCATTTGACAAAATCCAACACCATTTCTTGATAAAACCCTCAGCAAAGTGGGAATAGAGGGATCATACCTAAACATAATAAAAGCCTTATATGATAAACCAACAGCCAATATCATACTCAATGTGCAAAAACTAGAATCATTTCCCCTAAGAACAGGAACAAGACAGGGATGCCCACTTTCACCACTCCTGTTTCACATAGCGCTGGATGTACTAGCCATAGCAATCAGACAAGAAGAAGAAATAAAAGGCATCCAAATTGGAAATGAAGAAGTAAAACTGTCATTATTCGTTGATTACATGATATTGTACATAAAACACTAATGACTCCATCAAAAAACTACTGGATTTAATAAGTGAATTTGGCAACATAGCAGGATACAAAATAACACCCAGAAATCTAAGGCATTTTTATACACCAATAATGAACTCACAGGAAGAGAAACTAAAACAAACAAACAACAACAACAACAAAAATCCCATTTACCACTGCACAAAAAAATTAAGATACTTAGGAATAAGCTTAACCTGTAAAAGATCTGTACTCGGAAAACTACCTAATGTTGAAAAAAGAGATAGAGGAAGTTATAAACAAGTGGAAGAATATATCGTATTCATGGATTGGTAGAACCAACATCATTAAAATATCCATACTACCCAAAGCAATCTATAGATTCAATGCACTCCCCTTTAAAATACCAATGGCATATTTCACAGACCTGGAGCAAACTCTCCAAAAATGTATATGGAATAAAAAAAGACCCTGAATAGCCACAGCAGTCCTGAGAAAGAAGATAAAAGTTGGAGGGATCACAATACCAGATATGAAGCTATATTACAAAGCCACTGTTCTCAAAACTGCCTGGGCCGGGCACAAGAACAGACATATAGACCAATGGAACAGAGCAGAGAACCAAGAAATCAACCCAAGCTATTATGCTCAATTAATATTTGAC